ATGACCCTGACTCCTTTCTCATATATTCCATCCTCTCTCTCTGGACTGGCTTCCTAGAGCTCAGCCTGGTGTTTGGTCGTGGATTTCTGCATCTGATGCTGTCAATCACAGGATGGCAAATGAATGGAAGTAGAAAAAAACCTGACTGAGGTAACCCAGGTTCAGAAAGACAAACACAGTATTACTCACTCATAAGGGGGATGCTAGATGTAAAGTATAGGAGAACCAGACCACAATCCAAAGCTCCAGAGAAGCTAGGTGACAAGGAGAACCCTACGAGGGATGCATGGATCACCCTGGGAAAATGAAATAGATGAGATCTCCTGGAGGCAAGGGGGTGGTAAAGGAGAGAGGATGGGGCATGAGAACACGAGGGAATGGGATGGTTGAGTTGGGGGAGGGACAGAGTGGGAGAGCAATGAAAGAGATATCGTGATATAGAGAGACATTGTGTGTTTAAGGAGAAACATGCTGATAGAGAAATTCCCAAGAATCCACAAGGATGACCCCAGCTAAGACTCCTAGCAAGAGTGGAGAGGGAGCCTCAGCTGGCCTTCTCCTGTAATCTGATTGGTGAATACCCCAACGGTTATCAAAGAGCCTTCATCCAGTAACTGATGGAACCAGGTGCAACATTGTTCATAATAACCAGAACCTAAAAACAACCCAAATGTCTCTCAACCAAAGAATGAATAAAGAAAATGTGGTACCTTTACATAAGTAAGTATTACTCTTGAATTACATCTTGAAATTACATTTTGAAATTTGCATCAAATGGATGGAACTAGAAGAAACAATCCTAAGTGAGGTAACCCAGATCCAGAAAGACAAACACAATATGTACTCATAAGTGAATAAAGATGTAAAGTGCAGGATAGTCAGTTTACAATCCACAACCCCAGCACAGCTAGGTAAAGAGGGGGACCTTAAGAGGGACATACATGAAGGGAAATAGTTAAGATCTTCAGGGTAAACTGAGGAAGGGAGTAGAAGGGAAGTGATGGGGGATGGAAACATGAGGGCTCCAGATGGCCAAGTTGGGGAAAGGATAGAGAGGGAGAGCAATGAAAGAGATATCTTGATAGAAGGAGACATTATGGGGTTAGGGAGAAACCAGGTGCTAGGAAAATTCCCTAGAATCTACAAGGATGACACCAGCTAAGACTTCTACCAACACTGGAGAGGGTGTCTGAACTGGCATTTCCCTATAATCAGATTAGTGACTACCCTAATTGTCATCATAGGACCTATATCTAGTAACTGATGGAAGCAGATGCATTGATCCAGAGCCAAGCACTGTGCTGAGCTCCTGGAGCTTAGCTGAAGAGAGGGAAGAGGGATCATGTGAGCAAGGGGGGATCAAGATCATGATTGGGAAAACCACAGAGACAGTTGACCCAAGCTAGTGTGAGATCACGGACACTGGATTGACAGTTGGGGAGCCTTCAAGGGATGAAACTAGGCCCTCTGAAAGCGGGTGACACTTATATGGCTTGACCTGTTGGGGGCCCCGGGAAGTGGGTCCAGGACTTATCATTATGGTAGTTTCTCAGAAAATTGAGAATCAGCCTAATTAAGGACCCAACATTACCACTCTTGGGCATATACCCAAAGGATGATCAATTATGCTACATGGACATTTTGTCAACTATATTCACAGTAATATTATTTATTCATAATAGCCAGAACCTGGAAACAATCTAGATGCCCCTCAACCAAACAATGGATAAAGAAAATGTGGTACATTTACACAATGGAGTGTTATTCAGATGAAGGAAAAAAAACAATGACATCTTGAAATTTGCAGGCAAATGGATGGAACTAGAAAGAAATCATCCTGTGTGAGGTAACCCAGACCCAGAAATACAAACACAATATGAACTCACTCATAAGTGGATTCTGCTAGATGTAAAGCAACCAATAAACAGACAGCAGTCCACTGTGCCAGAGAAGCTAGGTCACAGGCAGGACCCTAAGAGGGATGCATGGATCACCCTGGGAAGGGGAAATAGATGAGATCTCCTGGGTAAACTGGAGGTGGAGGCCATAGAAGGTAGGTGATGGGAGATGAGAACATGAGGTAAGGAGGTAGTTGAATTGGGGAATGAATGAATTGAGAAAACAATGAAAGATACCTTGATAGAGTGAGCCATTATGGAGCTAGAGATAGGAAGAAATCTGGTGCTAGTGAAATTCTGGGGAATCCAAAAGGATGACCCCAGCTAAGACTCGTAGCAAGAGTGGAGAGGGTGAACTGGCCTTCCCCTGTAATCAGATTGGTGAATACCCTAACTGTCATCATAGGACCCCCATCGAGTAACTGATGGAAGCAAATGCAGAGATCCACAGCCAAGCACTGGCATTCCAGTCAAAGAGAGGGAGGAGGGATTATATGAACAAGGTGGGGTAAAGATCATAGAGACTGCTGACCTGAGCTCATGAGAGCTCACAGACTCTAGACTGACAGCTGGGAAACCTGTATAGGATGAAACTAGGCTTTCTTCCTGTGGGCAACAGCTGTCTGTCTTTGTTTGTTTGAGAGACCCCTGGCAATGGAACAGGAATCTGTCCCTGGTGTGTGAGCTGGCTCTCTGGAGCTAATTCTCTTTGGTGGGATACCTTGCTCAGCCTTGATACAAAAGTGAAGGTTTTTGTCCTGACTCAACTTGATGTGCCAGGCATTGTTGACTCCCTATGAAAGGTCTTACTCATTCTGTGGAGTGAAAAGGGGTGGGTGAGGGTATTGGGAGGAAGGGAGGGAGGGGGACTGTGGTTGGTATGTGACATGAATAAACATTTAAAATAAAAAAACAAGAAAAAAGAAAAATTGATTATGCTGAGCATGAAACTAAAAAAGTTATGTAGTAGTTGATGGTATCATCTTAAAAGTTATGTCTATTAAAATGACTTCCATACATTTATTTAAACCAGAAAAAAAGAATTTTGTGTTTCTTGGTTAGTTAACTGATTGTTTGATAATTTGTTTTCAAGGAAAAAAAGCCAACATTATCTTGTTATAAAGTGACTATAATTCCAGTACACAAATCTCACAATATTGTGTATTCTCTTCTGGAAAGTCATTTGTATCACTGGACACACAGTAGCATAGGCATTGAGTAAAAGTTTCTGAAGACTCAGAAGGATGGGGTCATAACTCCAGAGCAATGTTGAACAAAATGAAATGATGAGGTTCATCCAGTATGTGACCACAAAGACACTCACCAGAGCCAGGATGGTCCAGGTGGCTCTTTGCTCTGGTGAGTGTCTTACAGAGAAGCTGCTTCTGTGGAGATGCAGTGATCGCCTATGATGCCAGAACAACAGAAACACCATGTATGCACTAGAGAACAGCATGAGCCCCACAAAGAAGACATCCCTGGAAAATGTCAAAATGAAAAACAGTTCCCTCATGATGGGAGAAGTTGGAGATATCGAGCAGTATTCACTGACCACAAGTAGATTTGTTTGGCTTGTGTTGGAATAAGCTACAGTGAACAAGATGACATTACTACTGAAAGACAAATTTAGGAACCAGAAAAACAAGAAAATATACTTGATGTAATTTGTAAGTGTGTGTTTGGTTTTAACCACCCAGTCAGAGCTTGGGCTGATGATGGTGGCCTGTAGCACACTCAGGAAGCAGGTGATACAGATGGAGAGGCCTCTCATCACCCTGTTCAGGTAAAACAATGCCTTGCATTTGAAGTCATTCTGTAAATTCAGTGACTCAAACATGTCTAGAGACAAAAAATCTAACGCAGTGAGCAGCATCACAATATGAACAAGGGCCAAGTGACACGTGATCAACTCCGTGGGCTTAATTCTGCAGTCTTGGAGGACCATGAAGACATGCAACAAAAGAAGGAAGGTGCTGGCTAAGATTCCAATGCAAATTTGAAAATAAGAAATGTTCTTAATGATGACATGAGTGTATATCTTATTTATCTTCATGTCAGAGGTGAACATTCTGTATCTAGAAAGAAATAAATGTGGGGAGAGAAAGGAAGGTAAAAAAGACACAATGTCACAAGATGATGTGAGAATCCCCTACATATGCTGTAATATGTTTTATTTCCATTGGTTGACAAAGAAACTGCTTAACTTATGGCAGACAGAACAGAGATAAGTGGGAAAATTAAACTGAATATATATA